GCAGGGCCGGAGAAGCCTCCCATTTGCCTGGCAGTGATGTCACGCGAGGGACCGCCCATTTGCCCCGCTCTCATTGGTCAATTGGGTCCGGCGCGAGTCTGGCAGTTTCGGCTTGCCCAGCGGAGGGGTCCGATCCATTGTCTGAGCTCGAAAAATTTTTTTATAAAAAAACATACATTCTGCAACTTACAGACAAATTTTGAGTTTTATATTTGTATAGGTTTTCAAGAGCTTCAACGATACGGTGAGAAATGACCAAATTATAAATTGTCAAAAAGGATTCGCTCGCGTCGTTGTGCGCGCTGCGCTCCTACAATAAAAGCAGTCATCGAGAATTCCAGCTGGACTTTTTGTTACTTTTTCCGCACACGAAGGATTGCGTAAAAGAGACGCAAATAGGCTGACAACGATTAAATCTAAAGAGCACTCACCTCCTGTTTGAACCACTGTGTCATTTATCTTTGAGCTAATACTGTGTTTTTCCTTTTGCGATGTCGTCGTCTCTGTTTTCTGCTTCAGGGTAGATTCTGACGATGAAGCCTCAGTGCTTTCTTCAGGTGCTTTCCTCCGCACGAGTACATGCTTATCATCGTGTTCACCTTCTCCATGCATCTTCGTGGGCTGACTCGTCGTCGAGGTCAGAAGTAATAACATAGCTATCCTGAAAAAGAGCCTGCAATGCTGATGTCAGAAAAGGCCAAACTGACCAACAGTTCATAAGTGAAAGTCCATCACAATGAAAGTTACTTTGTGTTGAATGGCTTAGTCAATCTACAAAACAACGTGATAAGGAATGTTTGCGAACTGGAATGCGAAATGAAGATGGACCTATCCAGAAGGCAATTTAGAAAATACTTTTCGATGGCTATTGCGGCTTCCGTAATTTGAGAAGACAGAATTTTTAAAAATTATGTTGGAAGTTTGCGGACAAAAATTCGCCTCTGCACGCGGTGATTTGCACCCTGTATAACCAGCCATGGACTCAACTACGATATTACCGCGCAGGTTTAGCGAAATTCAATTTCCGCATATCAGAAACATTACCAAAGAGAAAAAACGAGCCGTACCGGTATGACTCCAACTTCAAATTCACCATGTCAGATGATGCAACGCACCATTATAAGCTTTCGGTGTACGAATTTTGGTAGTTATGCAATAAGAAAAATGACATATATGTTGCCGTAGCACAGTTAAATATTAAAGTTATGCCGAGATTCTTTGAACGGGTAATATAATATCAAGAAGTTTGATCACACCACACCGAGTTGCGAGTTCGCTGCGCTACAATATTTTTCACAAATAGTTTTCTTCTTTAAAAACCTATGTCAAAGACATAAAGGGCGAAGAATGCTATAAAAATGCTTTTTTATACCGCTGAAGTAACTTTACAAGCTATCACTCGCTCTAATCTATTAAGGTACAGTGCATAGCATCCGGGTCTTCGCCATGGATGTTCTCGTTATATAGGCGAAGTTGTGCTTTCTTTTGTCTCTCAGAGTAATTGTCATAGGGTACAGGCTCTACTTGTTCGAAGATGTGGCTGACAATAAGATACTAGTTACATGAATGACTTTCTTTTTCCGCTCTGTATGCAAACGTTCTTAGACAGCCTCCCAATCTTGCCAAATCAATGATTTTTTTTCCAAAAAAAAGTACGACGAAATTCTTTTTCAAGTCATTATATATGTGTAGAATTTGAACAGAAATTGACTTCTACCAAAAAAGATGCAAAATTTTTTTTTCAAATGAAGGTGCATGGCATTAACCACGCACTCCGAAATTTTTTTTGAGGTGCTCGTAGAAGAAATCGAAATCAAAAGATTTAAGTTGTGAAAAACTCCATTTGCAAAAATGTTTAGTGTACCGGAGCAGCAGCTTCAAATAAAGATTGTTGGCATCCACACTACCTGCTCTGATAAGTATAATGACTGCAGGATTGTGTTGTAAGAGAACGTGTCTGATTGCTGGATTCTCCCCACACTTTGACAAATTTCGTAATTATCTTATTTATATAAGACTGTTTTCTTCTAGTCGAATGCTCATTCCTTTAACTTTAAAAGCGCTGATGACCTACGTAGAATACAAGTTCGTCATGATTTATTTATTATAGATTACTAGCTGGGAAACCCGGTTCCGCCCGGCCCTGTCAATAATATATTGGTAATCAGCATGCTCAGTTACCCCCCTGTGCCAACTCCCAGCCCCGTAGCTCGAACCTTTTGAAAATTCAATAAAATCGGTATCGATCGATGACGAAAAGTAGCCTATGACACCCGCCCGGCCCCGAAGTGTATGTGTGCCAAATTTGGTCCCGATCGGTTCAAAATGGAATTTTCTATTCGGAACATACGTACAGACAGACACACAGACAGACATACAGACAAACAGACATTTAGCTTTATATATAAGATTCTGCACAGACGATAGTTGATGGCAATCAATTGAACTGCCAGAATTGTGCAAGCTTGTTTTAGCCGCGATCGGTAGAAATTTGAAAAATCTTGGACAAGTATATCGTTATAGGCAGAAGAATTATGTTCAAATGCTTTTCAGACACTGTTATTCAAGGTTTCACAATCGGCTAAAATTGAACTTTTGGGACATAAACTTTTGGATATATCTCAGAACAAGATTAAAATTAGTGAAGTCTCTTCTGTAACTTACTTAAAATCAGACCAACTTTCCAGCTTCTTAGGGACAGCCAACGTAAGCAATCAAAGCAAACAATTTCACTGTTCTTTCCCATGTAATCTATCTGACCAGATGGCATAGGCTGCAAATATAAAGCTGGATGCGGTATGAAAGTTTGTAGCATTAGCGTGTGTGAAACACTAACAATCTATTTCTAACTAGTGCTTCCACTCTGCGCAAGGCTGGCAGTGACGATTATAAAAGGTATTGAGAACTTACGTATGGTACCCGCCTTCCAAATCTTCTTCAACCGAGGCCTTAAGTAATCACAAAAATGAACCCTAGTTGCTATGCAGCTCTCATGCATTGCAACAATATAAATCGTTTATTTCTCCCTGTATTTTCGTAACAGACCAACTTACAGACCGACAGATTAGCGGCTTATTATAAGTCACCAGTGCGTCACCTCTGCTTCGCAGAGGTTCGCACTGGCTCTACTATCTGTGTGCCTAACTCATTCTCGTAAAATCGTGGCAGTGGAACTCACCGCGCTATGCCGACTACCACGAATAAAATGTAAACAACCACTCATTTAGAAAGTCTTTTCACGTGAGATCGGTGATTTCGCGTGGATGAACTTTTCGCAGGAAGACAAACGCAAATTTGAATAGGTTTTTGGATTTGTCATGACTTGGTAGTCGCCATAAAGGTAATGATAATCGTGAGCTACATCTCTGTGCGAGAATCTTCTCAAACGCTTAGCTGGAACCTTGGCATTTACACAGCCAATTCGTTTTGGCGCCGTTTTCGTTATGTAGTAAACTTTCGACCACTTTTCTGGCTAAACTCCATCGCTTGCACGTTTGCTTACCAAACTCATCCACGACTCTGCAAAAAGTGGTGATACGGACCGAATTTTGCGGTATAGAAGCCAGGTGGACCCGTTTGGCGCGCAATTTCTGAGGGATCCACTCAACAAATCTACTCGTGCTTTTGCATGTTGGACTTTCATGAAGGTAGCATGCGCTGTACAAAATTTGGGTTTAGAACGCTAGCTGGAACACGCTCCACGAATTTCGTAACAGACACACAAACACACACACAAAGTCACGTAAACATCCTTAGCCCGTTATTATAAGTTATGATGATTCTCAAAATCAGTTTCAATGAGATATGTGCAGCAAACACATTAGGCCCCGGTCAGACTTCACGCGACTTAATCGTCGCGACCAAATCGCCAAGATTTCCATTCATTTTCATTTCACATTCAAAAATTTCGGTCTGGAAAAGTATCACAACCGAATGCAAGTTGATCTGCATGGAATGATGTTGTAACAGTTGTCTCCTCGCGATTCAGTCGCGACGATCAAATCGCGTGAAGTCTGCCCGGGGCCTTACGTAAAAGGTGAAGTGTGTGAGCTTTGCCGCGGCGACTGTGAAGGACTCTGTCCAACCTCTGAACCTTGCTTTTTTCAACATGATTAGTATCTTTTATGTTGATTTCAAAGATCAAAGTAGAAGTGGTTTGGTAGTGTTTGTAACAATGCTGCGGCTATGCCTCACTTCTTACAACATGGAAATACATAGGATGGAATGGATGGAGGACATTGTCGCAGATATCCACCTACGCGGACAGCTAACATAAGGCACTAATGGCGAACATGAGTGATTTGTTGCATGTGCCAGCGGGATCTCCCGCTGATGTTCTCTTTCCAGGTGAAATCATTGACCAAGTAATTATATCTTATGAATAAAGCTAAATGTCTGCATCTATGTACAGTATGATGCATGCTCGTATTCTGAATCGATCCAGACCCTTTGCCAATGTACACTTTGGGGCGGGAAGGGGGTGGAGGACATTAGGTCGCCGAATTTGGAAGAGTCCCGCGCGGATTCTCTGCAGGAACGCATGTCCGCGCATGTATAAGGGTGCGTACTTGTCGCAAATGACCGCGGGGACCGCCCTTTTTTGGCGACCTAATGTCCTCCACCCGCGGGAAGGATGGCATAGGCTACTTTCCCTTATTGATCTATACATTATTTTTTGCAGACTTTGAGCAACGGTGCCGAAAGGGGCACAGGTGAATAGTGAGCATGTTGATTTCGAATACAACATTAGTTTCAAAAAATACATATTGCCTTGAACGAATCAAATAGTTCTTGCAAAGTTTGAGCCGGAGAGCTGGGTGCGCTTACGGGGGGGGGGGGGGGAGAGGTCAGTAGGAAGGGATGAAGTAAATGGATTGCTAAATGTTCCGGCTATTTCGTGTTCTTTCTTCAGTGTATCAGAAATGAGCTCTTTTCAGCTGAACATGGTATTACTCGCGGTTCTCCTAACTTCACATTTTTCTATTTCGTTGACATCAGTGTTTCAGATTCCAAAGCTTCATCTCTTAAACAGAAAGTCAGACCAAGCAAGAAAAATTCGTAGAAATCAGGCGTAGTTCTTCGTATCCTGCATCATTTTGAATCGTTCATGCTGTTGTTTTGGATGTGTTGTGTTGTTGAAATTTCCTTGAAAAAAAAAGTATTTGCACTTCAAAGTTGAAAACACTACACTATCATAATGAGTGGACAGTGATTGGTAACCTTTGATTCAACTGGCTTGGCGGCTGGAAGGTAAGGCTTTGCGACCTAATTGAGGCGCTCCGCCCGCGACGTAGTCTGCGTCTCTCCTGCGCGCGTGCTCTCTGACCATTGCCTAACCTTAATTAGGTAACGAAGTCCCGCTTTTCAGCCGCCAAGCCAGTTGAATCAAAGGGTAATCGTCTTTAGTCGGTGCTTTACACTCACCATCTATCGACTTCGCATCTGTAGCGCACAGCCCGGTATTTGAGTTGCATATACTATCCGACACTACCGCTTTACAAGTCCGTTTAGTGCAGCCCCATTTGGGTCTAGACTGCGTGTTATACAGAGGTTCCGCAAGCTGTGGCCTGGAATCAAAAACATACAGAATGTTCTTGGCTTATGCTTTTGCACTGAGTGCTAACTTTTTGCTGTAAGCGCATGCAATCGCCAGCTTATTATTAGATCTGCCACAGATTTGATGTGCGCATCCCATCCTCAATGACTTGTGATATATCATCTGAAACATAAGGTACCATCCTCCAAAATTATTCCCATATGAACCATCAACGTAGCTGCTTTTCGACTGTTCTAACGCGTTAACTCCAGCAAATTCAAGGCGCTTATTCGAAGCTAACATGTTAAAATGATCGAAAGACAGCCATGGTTGATGGTACATATGGAAATAATTTTAGGAAATGCACCAATGTACTGTGTTTATAGAGTGTCTGGCTCAAAATATTTCTAGCCAAAATTTTGACTCGCTTTTTGTTTTATTTGCTAGCCTAGATCCTGTCGAATTAGCAAAGATTCAGATTCCTCTGGTCTTTTTTTGATTTTTATTGGATTGGAAGGCGTTTAACGGAGCTCTCATGCCTTTTTCTTTGAGATGCTTGTTACCAAGAGCATTACTTGTAGGAACTCCATCTAGATGCCCTTATTCTAGTTTCTTATATGTACTTTGTTTTTGTGAAAGTGAGTTCGTTCAAAATACCATACCTTGACAGATTATTCAGTTTCGAAATTTTATTCCTCAAAGATCCAGCTCCAAAATGTTTGCGATTTTGTTCTCAAAGACTTCAAAAGGGTGAGGAAATGTTGAAAACTAGCACAATTATAGGTGAAGAGTTGTGCTGCGGATGCAAGTCAGAACAAGACTTCCGAAAACTTTGGAGCTGAAAAATCATCATTGTAAACTTGCACGGTTGTTTGCTATATAATTTGCTACGTAACACAATCTTTGATCGCGATCACTGCAGAACTTTCGTCATATAAAGGAATTGTAGACTTACAACTTTGGAAAAAACAGAAAGTTCTTGTTTCCTGCCATTAAGGAAAGGGAGCACATCAAACTACTCACTTTTTTACCTCTTTAAGGCTGGGTTCATGCTAAGTCCCATGTTCTGGAACTGTTCCCGCACAGTTCTCGCACTGTGCTGGAACTGTGCGGGAACAGTTCCAGACTGTGCTGCATACGCTGCAGCCGCCCCGCACCGTTTTGAACGGCGGGAGTTGGAGAATTTTGACCGTTCTCAACAGTTTTTCTTTCAGATTTCTCTCATTTTGGCCTTATTCCTCCACCCGCTTCCCTTTTTGATCAGCACAACTTCGAACTCGAAGCGGGGTTGAGGACTGAACGCTGTTCTGCTTCATGTATCCGAGAAGATGGACCTTCGTGCGCTCGTCCATCTTCTCTGCCATTTTTGTTCAGGCCTACTTCATGTTTTCTAGCAAGTCGCTGCGTGGTCTCCCATTTGTATTGAAATCATAGACAGATCTCTAAAACACATGAAGTAGGCCTGATCAAAAATGGCAGAGAAGATCAACGAGCGCACGAAGGTCCATCTTCCTGGATACATGAAGCAGACCAGCGTTCAGTCCTCAACCCCGCTTCAAGTTCGCACCTTTTCTCACCACAAGGAGAAGCGGGGTAGAAGAAAAAACGGAGAAGCAACTATATGGAAAAACGAAAGGGGCTAATAACGCTCAAAATCATCAAGAACAAGAGACAAGTCCCAATTCATGCAGTTTCAGAGTTGCTCCTGCTTCCTGATTCGTGGCAGACGGCTATGGAAGCTACGCCGCTTCCTGGAACAAATGAAGTAGTTTTGAGCAAAAATCACGAGGACAGAATGGACAACCGCACGACCGCCTATCTTTCCGGATACATAAAGCAGAAAAGCGCTCATTCTTTAACTCCGCTTCGAGTTCGAAGTTCTGCTGATCAAAAAGGGAGCGGGACGAAGGAATAAGGCCAAAATGAGAGAAATCTGAAAGAAAAACCGTTGAGAACGGTCAAAATTCTCCAACTCTCGCCGTTCAAAACAGTGCGGGGCGCCTGGAGCGCAGTTCTGGAACTCAAACAACTCATCACTGTTGTTTTCCCGCAAGGGAGAGTTCCCAAAGTCAGCTCGGCCAACCCGAATGAGTCATATATCGCCGTAACTGGCTTGAAACGCTGACTCCAAATCTGCTTTCCTTTTCTGCGGAGCAACCTCCGAGAGAAGTTGTGAGTTGTTGTTAAAGTCTAAATTTGTCATGTTCAAAGTGGCCTAAAATTGTTGAAAGCTCTAAAACAACACCTAGCGGAATTTCACTGGCTGTGTTCCATCCTTGTGGTCAATACACTTGATACGAAACTGATTAATCCCTTTCATGTGTTATTGTACAGGTTTCGCCAATTTTGAGCCACTTAAAACATGAAAAATTTCGGCTTTGAACGCTCTTAACTTCCTTCGGAGAATTGTTCCGCAGAAAAGGAAAGCGGAGTTGGAATCAGCGTTTCAAGCCCGTTACGGCGATATATGACTTATCCGGGTTGGCCGAGCTGACTTAGAAACTCTTCCCAGTCAGATTCCTTTAGAGACTGTGACAGACACAGGTATTATGTTGTCTCAAAAGTTTTTCCATTTTTTTATTTCTTGTGAATAAATCGTACAATTCTCGTTCCAGTCAGAATGCAGGATAACATTCGATAGAGCTAACAAGGAAATGGTCAGAAATCAAAGTGCCAATTCAAACAGTCAACATGCCATTAGATGCAACATAAAACGCTGACTTTGAATCTGAAAAAAAATCTAATCGAGCAAAAAAAATCTAATCGAGCATGCTGATCACCCCCGTAGGGGTAATCAGCATGCTCGATTACACCCCTCTGCCAAATTCCAGCCCCCTAGCTCAAATTTTGCAAAAAATCGATAAAATCGACATCGATCGATAACGAAAAGTGGACTGTGGCACCCGCCGGGGCCCGAAGGGTATGTGTGCCAAGTTTGGTCCGGATCGGTTAAGAAATGGAATTTTCTATTCGGAACATACGGCGGAGCCGGGTAAGCCAGCTAGTCTTATATATAAAGCTGAATGTCTGTTTGTCTGTCTGTCTGTATGTCTGTCTGTATGTCTGTCTGTCTGTCTGTCTGTCTGTACGTATGTTCCGAATAGAAAATTCCATTTCTGAACCGATCGGGACCAAACCTGGCACACATACACTTCGGGCCCCGGCGGGTGTCATAGGCTACTTTTCGTCATCGATCGATATTGATTTTATCGATTTTTTGCAAAATTTGAGCTACAGGGCTGAGAGTTGGCACAGGGGGGTAATCGAGCATGCTGATCACCCCCGTGGGGGTGATCAGCATGCTCGATTACACCCCCCCCTGCCAAATTCCAGCCCCCTAGCTCAAATTTTGCAAAAAATCGATAAAATCGACATCGATCGATAACGAAAAGTGGACTGTGGCACCCGCCGGGGCCCGAAGTGTACGTGTGCCAAGTTTGGTCCGGATCGGTTCAGAAATGGAATTTTCTATTCGGAACATACGGCGGAGCCGGGTAAGCCAGCTAGTTACTTATTATTATTCATTCACTTTTTTTACTGAATAAGTGTGATATTTGAGACAAAATTTGATTTATCTGCAAAAAAACTTTTGAACTGTAATTTTGCAGCTTCGACATCCGCACTTACCATTTTGTCCCCGAAAGAGCCTCGCTTCTCCCGTCAAGATGATTTATTTGATTTATGATTACTGGTATTATAGCTTTTGATTTTCAGAAAAAGCGCGTCGTTATCGAAAGTGTCGAAGGAAGCAGTATAACTAAGGAAGAGCTAGTGATTGAGAAGACTGAATGCGTTGAAGAGGAAGTTGAGAAAAGAAGCTCGATAATATTGTCTAGATTTTGTTTTTTGCTGTACAGTCGAATCATTTCATATGATCATGTGTTCTTTGCACACACCGTCCACCTTTGGCGTTCTCATTCTGGATTCTTAGAGCAGGTTCTCTTCAGGTAAGTTTTTCGATGTGTTCTTGGTGTTTTCTTTCCCTATTAGGTACTAATCACTTCAGACCGATGTGGGTTAATAGCATTCGGTTAGTCTCTTGTGTTTTTGCGTTCGCAAATCCAGGATGAGGACGCCAAAGATGGACGGTGTGTGCAATGCATACATGATCATATGAAATGACTTGACTGTATTGGTGTCGCATCTTATGTCGCAGTATATTTGTATACCTGTATTTGCTACTTTCTGTGCATTTCATTTCGCTTCCGTTGTAAAGCTTTCTCGAGAAGATCATGTGATATTTGTTGATAAATTTCGCAACGTAAGACTGGGTTTACTGGCAGAAGTTACAAGCGTGAGAAATGGGACCCAAAGAGACCAAGGGCTCAAGGTAAGTGAAAAGTGAGGCGCGAGAGAGGTAGACGCAAAAACTGCACGCGATCGGAACATTATGGTGTCTCCCGCAGGTATCGCGATTTTGTCCGGAATGTGTCCGTCGGGACACCTGATTTTGTCGCGCATTTTTGCCCCGAAACAAAATCAGGTGTCCTGATTTTGTCCCACACCGAATTCGGGAGTCGCGCAGGCATTCCGTGACGACACCTCGTTTTGTCCTGCGCGACTCAACCGCAAATGTCTGAGACTCAATTCTGAGATAATCATTCTCAACTAGACCCGTCTGCTGTATTTGGCAGTCGACTCGCATCAGTTGCATGCTTTCCGTGAAGACCCATGCCTTTGTGGCGCATTCTCCCGCTCGAAATCCCGCAAGCCGATATACCCTATTTTCCGGAGTATAAGCCGCATTTCTTTTCACCGCGCGCGGGCTGAAATGCGATGTCGTTCGCGATGCGCGAAGCCGCACAAGCAGCAACTACTGTTTCGCCTGGTAATCTAATACGGGCTTTCTGCTTTCGTTCTTTACTTGGTTTCTTCGCAAGCGTATTTGTTTCAACAAAATTCTCTACCTTTTCATTTATTCTTCAAGAATCCGCTGAACAATAAAACGTTCGAATACCAGTATTAACATGGAATCGAAAGGTGATAAGCTTTAAACCGGTAAATCAAAATAAAAGAAAGCACAACTTCAGCATCAGTAACATCATTGAAAAAGAAAAGCACAGTCAACCAGTAGTATCATTTAGGAAAGAAAGCACAACCTAAAGACCCGCAAAGTCATATGAAACAAGAAAAAAAGTCTAAGCATTCTCACTATCATCAAGATGATTATCAGACATGACCATCCGTACTAGAACACAGTGAGTTTTCAATTTGCTATAAAGCTCTATTCAAAGGCGCTTTCGCGCCATTGTTCGCTGCAGCGGGTGCGGCTTATATAAGGTGCGGCTTATACTCCGGAAAATAGGGTAAATCGTCCTTCCGTTACAGCAGCGGGAACAGGCGCTTGGAGCTGCCTGTGGCTGTTTGTGAAATTGGCAACCAAGGATATCCCAGTATGCCCAAATGTCTGCGTTTGCACAGTTTATGAATTTGGTATGCATAAAAAGCAAATAATCTGCACTTTGAGCTTACATAAAGGTGTGTGCGTATTTTGTCCATCTAAGTTCCCTGGATCTTGATCTAGAAAACTTACCAATATTAAAACATTTAGGAAGTTGAACTTGATTAGTTTGAGGAGCTTACGTTGGCAAACGGTTCAATTGCCTCATCGGTATACATTGCGTCTCTGAGAGGTAATGAAGCCGTACCAAGCCAATCCTCGAATGCGTAGACGTATGCTTGTCTTACATGTGCTTTTGTTGTGCCTGTTCTTATCCTGAAAGTCAGAATACACATATTCTGTGCTTCTTCGAACGAGGACGCACATTGCAGCGTTGACAGCCAAATCAAGAGCCATCTTTATTTCCTTATTGATCCTACAATCAGCGATGACTGCATAGGCAAGACCGACAAGGACACAGTCATAGGACTGAAATTCAAAACAGTCACATTGACATTGGTTAAAACAATAGACCTGAAAGGCTACGAGTTTATCGTTCACTAAGTACATTTGAGTTGGATAAACGGCGAAGTAACTTTTGAGACTGCGATGAGGCAGCAGACATAGATCAGAACCGGAATGTACCTTGAAAACCGTGCCTCAATCAAATTGTGGTTATTCGGTTGACGAGATATCAGCGAACTCAATGGCTAAGCTACGCACAAACTTATTTCTATAAATAAAACTCAAACTTTGTAAAAATGTTGTTTGAGTTTATTTCGTTAAGAAAACGCAAGCCGTTAGATTGATTGAGCTAAAAGTTTGCTCACATGCGTACCATAGTTGGAACCAAATATTCGTATTCGAATAGTTTATCAAAAATATTTGAATATTCGAATAGTCGAATAAACGACAAAGGTCTTTGTTCGGATAGTTGGTTTATTCGACAATCCGGAAAAATGATCTGTACGACTGTTCGAATATTCACGGAATTTCAAAAGGCAGTTATTTCTGGATATTTGAGATATTTTGTAAAATAGTTCGAATATCCTATGATATTTAGTTACTGGATTATTCGAATACTCGAATATTCAATCAAGTTCGATTATTCGAATATTCGGAAGTTTGAATATTGGAATGTGCCCATGCCCGGATATTTTAATTCGAACTTTACTAAGATCGGAAGTCGAATAATATTCGTTTATTCGGAAAATTTTTAAAAATACTCTTCCATTCGATAAAATTATCCGTTCCTTACTATCGTCCCACGGGTAGAATACAGGCGACTTCACTCGGCAAATCACCGTGCCCTTATATTGTTTCGTCGATTCTTTACTTACATTTAGAAAAAAAACTTAACATGCTCGAATCAATCATCTTCCCATAATCATATAAGCAGGAACGTTTAGGAGGATGCGGCGTTCGCGTCAAAGCGCTTTTGCGCATGAAACAAGAAGTTCAAAACCATACTATGCAGATATGTTTTGTTAGCTAAAACTATTCGAAGTTTCGGGTGAGACCGGGGTGCCCTGCTGGCTAACAATATGAGTAGTTGTCGGTTTATTCGATGGTTGTCGGCCACTCTTCCGGTTGGAATTCCCATAATAAGAATTTTACAATCATAAACTGTTTACAGAGTCGTTGTTGTCAGGTCTCGGCACGAGCTGACAGCAGGAAATTTTCAAAACGAAGACCCCTTGATTTTGCTAGGATTTACAAAATCCCTTTTGACCCTAAATCCTAAACATAAAGAACTCTCAAAAAAACGTCGACTAAAAAACGTCGTGTCTTTTCGGGAACAAAAACGATATCCCCTTTGTTTTCTGTCCCAAAAACGATATTCAGACTGCCCCGTGCCAGCTGGAGCCGGGCTCTGGTTGTCGTTTCGGATGAAAATTTTCTTTGGGCACCTCAATAATTGAGGCCTGGCTAGATAAGCTGAAAGAAATTACAATGCGATTTTTTCAAAAAATACAATGGTTTGTTGGAGATGTATTTAAAAAAAATCCGTTAATTTTCAACAGCAATAACGTCAAGATTGATGCATTATCAAAGGAACGTATAAGATAGTAACGAATAAGGATTCTATTGGGATGCAATTGTACTCGATTACTGCACAATTTTCGCGGTTTACTCTTCAAATCGAAGCTTACCATAGCAAACAAGTTCCTTGTTCCGTTTCCACCAAACGCGATTGTTTCCCCATCAATCATGGCTTTACCTCTGGCAATCCCTTGCCGAATTCTATTGTGCAGTTCTAACAATAATTTGCCATACGGGTCGTTAAGATTACACTCTGAAATGAAATGTCCGAAAAACTCTGGGTCGGTAGTAATCTGGTCGAAACTCCGAGTTTGAAGCCCCGCGTTAACTCAGAGATAACTCTGAGTTCTGTTTTTGAAACTCTGAGTTACGCTTATTGAAACCCTGAGTTCCGCTTTTGTAATTCCGAATTCCAACTCTCAAGCGCGAATTTTGCTTTGAGGAGCTGTTAAGCACTTTGCTGCAAAAAGCGACGTTAAAGTAGGAACTCGAACCTGTATGGTCTAGCGTAAAGATCCTATCACTAAACCGCTAGACCATGACACACCCATGAACCCTAAAATTGCTTTGCCATAATGTACTCACTCATTCCATTAACACTTAGCAGGTCAGGACAAGTTATACCAAAGCCTCACTCATTTCCATTTCTATCGGGCAGTGATGGTTTATCACGAGGATTGGTCTTTTGCGCAGCTGAAAGCTTCAAATAATAGAGAAAGCGGATGGCATACGCAATGATAAGAATTGACTATTAGGATTTGCGCACAGAATAAATCCTCCGGGCAAAGTTTGCCCTTCCATGATTTCGTCTTATTTACCGTATACCTACCGTAACCGTTCCATATGTCACCAGTGTATGTAGCAGATAGATTGTCCGTAATCTGCATCCCGAATAACCCCAGTGTACCAAGTTTCGATCAGTTTCGTGATTTTCTCCTATCTACCGTAAACCTACCTAACTTCGTCAGATGACACCACAGTATAATCTACATGTCATATTCGTTATCGGCGCTCCGAATAACCCCAGTGTACCAAGTTTCGATCAGTTTCGTGATCTTCTCCCATCTACCGTAAACCTACCGTAACACCTCTACATGACCCCATAGTGAAAAATGGGTACCATATGCGTGACCAGCGCACCGAATAACCCCCTGGGCCAAGTTTTTACAAAATTTCAAAGTTTTGTAAACACTGCGCACCACGATACCCCCATCATGCCTGTTTAAACTACGAGCAAAATGTACTCCGGAGGACTTTTTAGCTGCCCCTCTTCTTTTGCGCACTATTTCTCTTTCTCTGACCAAACTCAGAGTTATCTCTGAGTTCACGATAGACTGGAACGCGCATCAAACTCAGAGTTATCGCAGACACTAGTTGCGCGTTTGGTGGCGCTGTTTCTTGTGCAAGACGATTTGGACAATGTTGCGCTACTAGGAATAAAGTACGTGTTAAGGAGAATCCTGCCATATCATCGCTTTCCGGATTTGATCTGTTCAAACACCTGTTAAAGGGGTCAAAAAGTTGCGCGTTAGCTCAGAGATAACTCAGAGTTAACTCTGAGATATAACTCTGAGTTTCGATAGGTTTACTACCGACCCTGACTTTTTCCACATTATACAGAACACCTCAGCAAATGAGCGTATTGTTTGATTTTCTTGATTCTTTTGCGATCTTTTACGCAACGTCATGTACCATTTCAAAAGGCTTACTGTTTTATTATTTTCAAGCAATAGTAAGATCGCAATTCAATTATCGGAGAATTACGCTAAAAGGTACATCGAAAAACTTTTGTGACAATAATAAAATGTTTTATCAATTTTGTGACGTGGAGAATTCAATAAGTTTTTTGATGATTGTAGAGAAAGCCGCTGCTACACTGTATACTGCGTGATTTTTGGAATAGAGATCAGCCTCTGAGCGCAAAGTCCAATTTGAAGCCAGCTCAGCGACCCTGATTTATCCTAACGATTATTTTGATTAAGATCACTGTTGGCACAAATCTTTTAAGAGTTTTTGGCTGTAGTATTGAAAACAATTGGTTGTGACATTCTTTACCTAGTATCCACCTTTGTGCCAGCTTTATAAAAACAATTAGTAAATGGTTGTGAAAGCTTTCCAAGAGAGATAAGGTCGGTCAAACAGCAAGCTCATTTTCTGGAGCAAAACATATATCTTATTCAGAGCATGGTATGGGACGTACGTGAATTGACCAATATGCAGCTGGATAGTAGAAGAAGCCACTGGAATTCTCTAGTCATTTCGAGTATGTCTGATAAATAAGTCTCACCTCAAAGATGTGTTGCATTCGCGCGCTGTAGCAATGAAGAATTTTCTGAGTCCTTCTGACCTTCTGACCTCTATATAGCTTGAGCAGATTATCAGTATTATATTGTTACAAATTTGTCAAAACACTGAGAAAATTTTAGTTATATGCAGTTCCAAAAAGATGTTAGATAGTCTTCGTCTGTCACTGTTATATGCCTGTCACTTTGATCGCAACTGAGTCAACCCCATTTCAAGAATGGTAGCTCCAGAGATACAGTAAGTTTCAACCCGGATTTGGATAGGTAAGCATCCGCCTCGCAAAGGTCCGCGCGGTTTCGCAGCTACGGTATATCATATAGCGCCAAGAACTCATGTCTGCGTCTTTTCATTCTTCTCACAAGGAAATGGTCACAAGTCGAAGTGGCCAATTCACACAAGCTGCATGCCATTAGATGCAGCATAAAACGCTGACTCTAAATCTGTCTTCCTTATCTGCGGAGCGTTTTTGTGGACGAAATTATAAGTCATTGAAGACCATTATTTTACTAAGAAATTGAGCGTTTAAAGTGCAAACTTGGCCGTACAAAGCCATTCTCGTCTCGTTGGACCAAAACGTGCAACCAGGTCACTTCATAAGGTCCATACCTAGAGTTGAGCTGAAAGAGCAATAATGTGCCTAATTTCGCAATTTTTGTACGCGATTTTTACGCTGTAAAGTTGCTTATAATTTTGCCTACAAAGGCCCTCTGCAGATATGGAAGACAGATTTGAAATCAGCGTTTTGTGCTGCATCGAATGGTATGCAGCTTGTATGGATTGGCCACTTCGACTTCTGACCATTCCCTTGTCAGTCTTTCCTTGGCCAAAAGCCAGCGTTTTGAACGCAATCGGTTGTTTGTCAGCCTTGCCCTGATTCACATTGGGGCAGCCTGCAATGTCAGCTGATGCGCATGGTGAAATTGTGCGCATTTAAATTGTGCGCATTCTTTCCATTTGAAATACATACTCATAAACTACTTCTTTGTTGCCGATAGCCATTGCTTGATAGTCATAGGCATGGTGAATTGCGCCTTTGTCGAGGACTCAACATTTGTGAGTTTGATTTTTCAAACATTTGTCTGCCTTCAGGATATCAAGTTTGCGCTTGGGAAAGTCCGAAAATGTTAGAGTCGCTTTTTTGTAACTTTGGACATGCTCGATGTTTCGAGGAAAACATGTCAACTTGGAGAGCCATCAGTGAAGGCAGATTGGCCAGTTGAAGCCAAATCACAATTTTACATTAGTCTTGCGTATGCTCCTCTGATATCAATGGCGGTTGATATCAGAGGAGCATACGCAAGACTATTGTAAAATTGTAAATCCAGGTAAATCCATGTATATAAAGCATTCTGCTTGCCACATATTACGAGCCAATGACTCAAATATAGCCGAAAAGGACCAGAAACATGTAGGTCGTCCCAACCGTGCAATTCTTTTGCACTTACGGAAGACATTTATGTTAAAGAGAGGGAAGACGAAAGCGGTAAAATGCATTAGATAAGAGGAGACATGCAGATGCTGAATTGCAATGGTTTTCGGAGCACATGGTTCATAAGTTGGATACAGCCGCTGTAATGCGCGAGAGTTCGACAACAACTGAATGTACGACTGTTAGAACGCCAGAGGTTCTTCACGTAAATATTTGATTCACTATTCGACTGTTGTAAGTTTTCGTATCACATTTTTGGCCGCATCCAGTGCGCCTCAAAAGTTCTACAAAATAAGCTCTTCTTCAAATCGGAGAAGCTACCATAAAATACGTGTTCATATAACCGCCTCTAATTCTGTCACGCAATAATGAGAATTTTTGATTCTTACAAATCACAAAGTTACGCTTAACAAAGAGTATCCAAAGATGATTATTCAACACGGACGAAGCGGGGCAGAAGGTAGTATAATGAAATACTCGCTACGCGCGGATTAGCCGTATCGTCTAGGCCTACCTCGTAAGCATACCGCTCGAAAGTAGTTCATTCAGTTATGTAACGCCATGCTGTATCGCAACGCAATACCTCTGTTATTTTGAGCGAATACTGCAACGTGGCTTTCCAAATGAACTATTACATCAATCATCATCAATCATTTCTAGCCTATGATAATGCGCTTGTTATGTTTATACACTCTTAACAACTCTGGTACATCTATAAATGGGCCCAGAAGTGAATGATGGTTTGTTTACATTGGTGTAACTATGATGTACTTATATATTATATATGCAGTAAACATAAATATAAATATAAATACAGGGTGTCCCAAAAGTATGTATGCAACTGTTTGATCGTTAATATCTCTCTTCCCAAGAAGTCTATCGCTTTCAAGTCTTTCGCCTTGCTTTAGGTACCATTCTGTAGAACTGGCTTCAACAGAGTTACAGTATGGAGAGAATCACGGACCCCTCTTCATTACTGTAGGATTACGGTAGAAACTTGAAACATATGGTGTCAATGTGGAAAAAGCTGCCATTTCAAAATTTTCAAAAAAAATTTGAAAACTTGTGTAAAGGGTTTTTATGAACGCTGAGTTCAATACTCAACTCTTTACAAGGTTGCGAAGCTTTCTAAACGGTGTAACCGTTTTAGGAACATTGAAAAATGGCCGCTACCTCTTACCTGGCATAACTCTTCAATGAAGCATCATAATAAGTTTGGAACTTTATAGTAAATTAGCAACTCTAATTAGCTTAGTGTAAAGGTTTTCAAACTGTTTTGTTTCTTTTCTGAGGCAAAATATGGCCTTTCATGGCTCAAAACACTCTTTGAAGTTTCTACCGTAAACCTATAGTAACGAAGAAAGATGGGTGATTCGTTATACTGAAAATCTAAGTTGAAGCCAGGTCTACAAAATGGTACCTAAAGCGAGGCGAAAGACTTTTTGGGAAGAGAGATGTTAACGATTAAACAGTGCATGCATAATTTTGGGACACCCTGTATTTAAGCCGAAGATAGTTTGCAGTGAAAGAGAATCACTGTCTGATTTCAGTTTAGAGAAGCAAGGTTACATGGGCGAAGAAAAGAACAACATTGTGTTCGTTGTGTTTATGTAGGATACAAAGTCTTGCGCATTCTTATCTTCCAGAACTAAAACGCAGAGCTCATATGGATTGTAAATGTATGTAGAAATATCATTATACTTGTGAATTGCTGTTTGGGAGCCATCAGGAAAGAAGGATATACAATGTATTATTAAATTAACATAGAAGCTGAATGCAGATGAGCTACATTCGATAAATCGTCGGATTCAGTATCATAAAAGACATTCTCACGATGAACATGAAGTTTGGCGTTTTACAATGTGACGTTTTGATAAAATGGGACAGAGCTGGAAACATTGTAAAAAATAAAGAAAAGCTTACCGCAAGCTTGAAGACAATGAAGAGTACATATCGTCAACATACTTTCCATACTTGATTGGCACAGTTGGAGAGTTCTCTACAAATTTCTTTTGTATTCACCCCTGTCATCGCCTAGTGGGATTGTCTTTGATATATGCTCTACTTACTACCTTCGTTTTTTGCGTTTTTCTGTTTTCTACAGTTCTAGCTGCTCTCAAGTTCTCGCTGTCCATCCAACTTTTCTTCCTTCTTTGTAGGCTTTGGATTAGTTTGCCATTGCTAGTGGGCATAATCATTCTTTCGATTTAAGTCATCAATTTGAGAACTTTATAATGCTTGCCCGCACGGGTAAATCGTCTCATTCCGCTTCTGCCCGCATTCTTAGCAAAAGAACTGTGAGTAATCTATCAATTAGTCAAAGCGGGTACAATTCCCGATATTGACTACGAATATATCTTCCCTATGGGTGAAGTTATCCAGTCTGGTTAAAAACACTGACCCTATGAGCCACTGAAAATTTGCTTTAGTTTTGCAAACGGGAGCGGAGACAGAGAAACGCGAGGGAAATGTCTTAATTTGGAGGCTTGCTGAAGTTCCGTTCAAGCTTTCAGTGCTGGAGCGCAAGAAGCATCTAGGTGAGAGCGTAGCGCAAATCCTGAAAACATTGCAGATAGAAGCATGTCCCGGAGACATACCGAAGGGGCAAATTGGTTGAAAGAAAGCCACGTTTTGTCAAAATCGTATTCCCCTCGCGCTACTATTGGAGCAAACTCTATCAAATGCTTACCGTTTGCTGCACTCCTCTCTTTCTAATGCTTTTGTCCGCTGAAGCGCTACTTCAACGAAGAGAGAACGGGGCTTAGAGCTATGGAGGAAGCTTGAGTGAAGCAGAAAGGCAATAAGAGTGGGTTATATACCTCGGAAAGGTTAAGCATATCTCTGAACTGTCCCAAAAGACCTGTTAAGGAAAGGTTGGGTTGGCCAGGTTCTATAATAATAATTTTATTACATGTTTTTTGTTCCACAAATTTGGTCAACAAGTTACATACTTTTCGCCCCTTTTTAGCTTCTACCGCCCCTATGTCGCTTATGTTACAACTTCAAATTCTTCAACTCAGAAATTGTGAACGATTTCTAACGTACTCAAATCACTATCGTAATGGAAAAAAGGTGGTGGGGTTTCTGCTATACATTTGATGATTCCGCAGTAAAACGCCTTCATATTGATCATAGCCTGAAAGCTGATAAACTCTGGGTAGATCTTTTTACTGATTGCCTCATTCTCGCCTTTGTCATTACCGTACATCGATCATCATCTGCAAATATGAAAGAATGATATATCTCTTACAAATACTTGCATAACTTTCAGCTTGATCAGAATGTGACGGTTCCTGCTCGAGATAATGCGGCGATTTGTCTTGTATTTTCCTCGAGTGATAAATATTGACAGGAATATCTAGACTTCCCCACCCTTCGCCTCATACGGTCAATGCCGTCGCTTCCTATACACATTTTTCCAAATGCAAAAACTGTATCTTGTCACTTCCTGTCTTCCAAAAAGCAAATTGGTCGGAAATAAATAGTGCTTCTATGTGTTGACTGGAGAAAATTCATAACTTCTTGTCAGTTGACGATTTAGATTACCGATGTTGCATTATTTTATATGGTATTTTCGTCAGATATGTACCTTTTACTCCAACAAAGCTTTCTTTCAATTCTATCCCACTCATATCATAGATAGTAAATAAATAAATAAATATCCGCAAGTTGG